TCCCTCTCCCCCCTCCCACCCAAGTGTGTCCCCTCCATTTTCTTGTTGTAAGAACTTCAAAAAAAAAAGTATGGTTGTTATATCTTCTTCCCCACCCCACCCCCGGTATTTTTTGGTGTGTTTTTGGGTAAATTAATTTGTTTATTTTTTTAGCTCCCACCAATAAGTGAGAACATGTGGTATTTCTTTTTCTCTGCCTGACTCGTTTCACTCAATATTATTCTCTCAAGGTCCATCCATGTTGTTGCAAATGGCAGTATTTCATTCGTTTTTATAGCTGAGTAGTATTCCATTGTGTAGATATACCACATTTTCCGTATCCACTCATCTGATGATGGACATTTGGGCTGATTCCAACTCTTGGCTATTGTAAAGAGTGCTGCAATGAACATTGGGGAACAGGTATACCTTCAAAAAAAATAATTCCTAATCTCCCTTCAGCATATTTATTGGGCATCAGTTGTTACTTAATACAACAGCTCTCCTGGGAGAAAGAAGTCAACCTTAAAATAAATGTTTTCCAGGGATAAAAAGAGATCATTGCAACAGAAAAATACCAGAGGGGAATAATCATTATATTATAGAGCAATTTAAACCTTATAAACAAACGATATATTTTAAAGCCATATCAAAGCTATAGAACTGGCCAAAACTGAATATATTTTATGAGGTACTGATTACTGAGAACAAAGGAAAATCCAACTTGAAGGATTAAATTCCTCTCAAAACCAGTCGTTCACTTATCTGTACTTATGTCACAAAGTGTTTATGAGTTTGATGTATATTCCAGGCCTAAATCCCCTTTCCAGAGAGCAGAGACTTCTAATCTGCCACATTCCAAACCGAAATAGATTCATCAGCATTTCACATATATAAGCACAGCTCCTAAAAGCCATTAGCAAAGTGGAGGATCTAAAGACACAAAGATTTCCAAGTCTAAATGTAATGGTCTTTAATTTCCTGAGACACATGCGAAGAGAAAAAGTTTCAGTTAAAGAGAAAAGCAAAAGCAAGACCACTGCTCCTTTACAGAAACTGGCAAATCAAGAATGTATGCACAAAACACCTGGATTTGCTTTCCTGTTTCCTTGCCAGTGACTTTTTTTTTTTTGGGGGGGGGGAGCAGTTAAGATTAGCTCACAGTCAAGCAAACCTTCAGAGCAATGAATTACACACCGACACACAGACACACTCTCACACAAAAGAGAGCAAAGCTGATGCTATTTAAATATCATGAAATATTTTCCTAACCATGCACAGATGGAAGTACAGACTTTTCTGCCAACCGCCTGGTTCAGAAACTTTGCTCTATTTTTAATGATTTGGTTCAGAGGACCCGTTTGTGATTAACTTCTGTGTTGGATGGCAAAGCAAGTAAAGTTCCTGACCCACAGCAAAGAACACAGAGAGAAGCTTAATTATTTTTAAGCGGCCAGTGTAATACTGTAAACCATGTGTAGGGACAACTAATTTGTCACAGAGCTGTTGATGATTGTTGCAGTTTGGAGCTGTAGAGTTTATCAGGAGGGCAGAAAAATCCAAGAGATCTTTAGTAAGTGACACCAAAATGAAGTTTTTAATGACAAATAGATTTTCATCCTTAAGAAACAACGATGGAGCAAGAAATGGAGAGGAAGAAATTAATAATGCTGTGAGGACTCATCTTACCAGCACGAGAAGTTTCAGTTTTGACTAGGAGCAGTGAATAGAAAGCCAACAGCTTTAAGCACAGGAAATGGACTCGGATGCAAGGAGAAGTTGGTCAGGAAATTCAAACCATAGTATTCAGAATCACACACTAGAACTGCTGAGCAAGATGAAATCCCAGAAGAGAAGTAGAAAGAGAAATGATGTTCCAGCAATAGGACAGAAAAGATGGTCAAAGTATAAGGGCTGTATATTTTTAAAAAAAAATAGTTCCCAAGTAAGAAAACTATAACCCCAAGTAACAAATTACTGTAAACACAGAAAGAAAATAAAATACAAGGCATCCAGCTAAGATCCTTGAAGGTAGATTAGGGCTTAAGCCTATCAGGCTTTTATTCCTAGAGAAGCTTTCTCTTGATCAATAACCCCATAACTTTAAGACATTCTGTATTTAAGACCTTAATGAATCTAGAAAACCTCAGAGTCTACTGAACAGTAGGCCATGGAGAGACAAAATATCTCAGGAGTAATAGTTATTGTTAGAAATTACATTTGCAACGAGTCCAAGACCAATGCCAGAGTGATCTGGAAATTTAAAACACAAAACAATAAGCACCTACTTTCTTCTTAAGGAGTGTAGAAATGGAGAATAAAAACAGAACACCCTTTTCAGGAGGCCCTCAATAGTGAAGTTCTGCTCCTTCAACCACTAACACTGGCTATTAGCTTTCGGCTGGGTTGGATGACATGGCAAGACCCTTAGAACGCACATCTGTATTTGTGGGCATCATAAAATTTCAATAATCGGAAGCAATTCAGAGAGTCATCTTGAGCAGAAGAAAAAAGTCTAAAGTAAAGGATGACTTCTGCTACATATATATATTATTCCTTCTCTGTTATGCAAATAGGTGAGACATGTGTATGTGTGTGTTTATAGTAAGAGACTAAAATTTTTTCAAAAAAAATACCCCAGAATTTCTTTAAAAAAAAAAAAAGGCACATCTACTTCTGAATTATTTATAGTTGCAAACGGCTTCAAAATACCAACCTAGTATTATTACTGTAGACACTGGTCACAGCTTAAAAGTGTTTTTATTTCATTTACTCATGTTTCTATTTGCTGTAATACTAGCCACTGTGATGGGATTTGACCTGTGTCTTTGTCCGTAAAACAATCCTATAAGATATGTAAACATGAATTCAATTTTCTTTTAGTCAAGGAAAGCAAAACTATGGTTGTCAGAACAAGAACTGCTTTCTGTGGGATACTCCTGTTAAATGAAAGCTATTCAACTTGAATCAATTGCTGTATCCATTCTCCAATACACAGCAGATTTATATTTCAGAAGGTTTCTGACAGAGAACAAAATGTTACTGAAATATCTCTTCCATTCCTTTTGTCCTACATAACATTCCATGGGCTGAACTCCCAACAAGGGGCATATATTTGTCAGCTTCTGTTTACACTCGTTCTATTCTAGTTTGTCTTGGTTGCAAATTTTCCTTTTTGACCCTTTCCTGACAACACATTAATATACACTTTTTGGTTGTGTTACAACTTGCAATAAAGAAAAACAAAATTTACATGTTTATCCTGTGCCACCTTGAAGCACCCATATTTTTAAAATAAGCCCTGCTATTTAAATCAGTGATAGAACATTTTTTTTATATCTGCTTATGTAAACAGAAGAAATCCAGGGAGAAAATTCTTCCAATCCAACAATCCACACATTCCTACACACAACCAATCACTTGAGTATTTAAAAGCTAGATCTGTGGCGAGAGACAGGCTAGAACTGGCACGAACAAGTCTGTGCAAGATGAATTTATCCTCCACTGCCTCTATTCCAGGTCATCCCAGGACTATGCCCGTGGGCAAACGTCAAAATGGAAAGAATGGATTGGTGCCTCTTTTCTAGTATATTTGTGTAAAGACTCCCCACGAGCTCAAGAGGGAGTTGCTGCTCTGCAAGTGACAAAAGGTGTGTCCCTGCAAGCAGATCAAGCAGAACATTTAACAGGGTCCTGGCCACTAATGACTAAGCCTATGCCAGCTCAAAACCAGTCAGAAACAGATTTTAGACAATGGGGAAGCTAAATCATTGGTTCTCAGGGATGACGTCCAAGAGGAGGTCTCTGAAGCTGGGTGTCATCCTTTAGGGTAGCCCAGAGTAAAATGGTGACACATTATGCCTCCTGGCGAGTTCATAAATACTTTGCACAGCAAAGACACCAAGTCCCGAGGACTTCCCACGAAGATCTTGGGGCAAGAAGAGATGTTCACCAGCACTTTCTGTTCTGTGACCTGTTAGAGAGAAACATTCTTAGCTACTCCATCACCAACCAAAACTCCCCACCAGGCTATTTCTCCTTGACTCCTGGGGGAAAAAGCTGTAAAGAGATTGAGAGGGGACACTCAAGAGAGAGATGGCCCTTGTCTCATTTGCAGCAGCACTAATGAGGCTTCCAGATACAAAATCTGGCTTCAGTCAAGTCAAAAAGTGAATCAGATTCTAAGTATTTCTGCAACTAACACCATGGTCACCAGCTACAAAATTACTTCTGCAAAGAAAGTAAAAGCTTTATACCAGTTATTATACATGCTTCTGGCATCAAGAGATGGGCAGTGCTTTTTACTGTAAGATTAACAGCTAGCTGTTGTTGGACAGTTGATGCTTAATTAGCATGGAAGCAACTCATGTGTCTTGCAGATGCAAATGTCCTGCACTGGCTGCCTCCTGCCCAGCAGGCATATGGCTGATCACAGGTGACTGGATGAGCTTCCTCTAAGCTCTCTGTAACATGCAGTAGAAAGCCAGCAGGGACCTACAGCTAGGGAAATGATGTGACCATAGTATCTTCCCATCCACATAGGAAAGAATCTCAGAGAAGAAGGAATCAGATTTCAAGATTCCTCATATGAGATCAATTTGATTTCCTGATGTTTTTAACCTTGCTGACACAGGCACATTAAAGTAAATGTAGCTCAACTTAAAAGATGCAGTGGCTGCAAAAGGAACCACTCTCTACCTATCCATCAAGTATAGGCTTAAGCACTACAAAAATATCTAAAATAAAAATTTCTAATCAAATACTTCAAGGAGTAACTAGGAACTGCATATATTCGAGGGACTGGGTTCACACATTTCTTCACCTTTCCAGTTCCATCTCAGAATTGCTCTATTGGGCCAACTCAATTAAACAAAGTCATGTCTTTTCATTTTACGAATTCAGAGACACAGCTGCATAATTCCTGAGTTGTCTTGGCTGTCCAAGGTAATGGAGAAGAGCACTGAACTACAAAGTCAGAAAACCAAAGTTACACGGTACAGGCGACATGTATTTCTAGCCATTGGAACCTGGTAAATCAGTCAACCTCTTAGGTTCTGTTTTCTCCCCTAGAAAATGAGGATCATCTCTACTCAAGGAGTCATTATGACTACCACTGAAACAGTGTATCCAGGGCACTCTGAATTCTGTGATGGACACAGCAACCACTACACATGGTCTGGACAACTGTGGTTTTTACTGCTGTCTGTCGTTACTAAGTCAAAGGCTCAGATTGCAAAACACCATCGAGAGAAAAGGGTAGTTTTGACTAGTCCCCTACAAGAGAAACAAGAAACAGGACTTTCATCGCAATGAAGTCTTTGAAGACCCTGGACATTCAAAATAAGAAATTAAAAAAACAAATTCTCAAGAAAATCATTTCCTGAGACTTCAGGGCAAAGTGTTAAATTAAGTGCACCATTTAGACACAGAAACTTTGAGATTAGACAGGTCACCAAATGGTCTCTGCACAGCAGGACAGCAAACAGCAAGTGTTTGTTCATTTCCAAAGATTAATAGCCCTCCCTCCAGGACTTAAAGATGATATGAACTGTGACTTCTAGAGTTTTGTCTGGAGAAGGCTCATGTACTACAGGTAGGACCGATGTTTCAAGGTCACATTCAGAGATATTTTTCTTCATTTTAATGTTGCTTATTGCTCACATTCACCTATTTTAATCTCTGGGATGATTTAAATAGATCTCCAGTCTGCTGGAAGGAAAAAAAAAAAGTAGTCTTCCTCCTTTTTCATCTGTTTACACATATTGTTAAAATAGTACTGTTCATTTGGATGATGCTGAGATGGAAAAATAAAAAATACAACCTGTTCCTTGTAAAGAGTAGAGAAAGGTACAAAGGGTTACAGGAGCTTAAACAGAACAGGAAAGCCAAAATAGAACACCAAAATTTGGGCTCAAATGTTATCACCATAATTCCTTCAAACTCACTAGAAAGCAAGGTTCTATGGAAAGAGGTCTTTAAATAAATAACTAGATCAATACAATAATAGATAAACTTGTCTTATCAGCTATTACCACTTATAAAAGAAAAAAAACAAAAAACTAAACTGCTATCTTATGAAAAGTATCAGATCAGGCACCAGAGAGGCAGCAGCTAGGGGAAAACATTCTTTCTGGGCTCCTTATATAAAGGCTATCTCCCCCCTTAAAAAGCCCCAATTTGGGGTTATACTTCTCCCTGGTTTGGGTTGCAGTGACCCGGACAGCTCCAGAGGTAAACTCAAATGGAGCCCAGACAAGGAGAAGAGTAATCCAAACAAAATTCATCCAGACTCCTTTCTGCCCCCACTGGGAGCCTTCCAGAGCAGAGCAAGGTAGACAGGACTTTGAGGACTTCCCTACAGGGGATATGCAGAAGATAGAGGGCCAGGGCCCCAGTTCTAACATATGGCCACTCCCACCCACAACCACAAATGGACACCCTCTACTTGAGAAAAGTGTCATCACCTACCACCAACTGGGAAACTTCTAGACAAATTCACATGTGAGGCAGAGGAGGTGGATGGCCACCTGACTGGCCAACTCAAAGGGGCACAGATACCACCTTCAGATTGCCCTTCTACTCCACTGATCTCATTCCTGATGGGTGGGGTTATCTGTGCAAAGGAGGCCCTCAGGGTCCATCCCCACACTCTTCAAATGGTTCCCCTTTCCATATGGTACTTTACCTGAGCCTGATCAACCTCGCCTAGAACTCCAGAACTACTCTCTTTCAGATAAAATTATCTCCTTGAGATAATTATTTCACTAGGAACTTTCACCTGATTTGGAGAGTTGGGTGCCAAGAATGCTTAAGAAAGACTGATCAAGGCCAAAGAACATATATCAGGAATGTGAACCTCAAATTCATTCATTAATTCAACACAACGGCTGTGTTTCTAAGAATCTTCAAGGAATCTAAATTCGATACAAATTTTCTCAATATGAAGAAAGGCAGTTTTAGACATTCAAAAGCAAAGCCATTTTTCCTGTATTGAATTTTAACAGTAATAATATCTTGCGTGTTATAAGTGCAGTACTATAAAACTTAAACATCACAGAGCAAATCTAGCGTTCTGTTACATATAGCTTTAGTTCCAGAAATTCATAATTGAGCCTTTCTTCATCCTTTCTTTCTCTTTAATACAGCCTTCTTGCACATTATCACCTTTATCACTCATTGTCGTGATGCACAAAACACAAAGCCACTTCAACAAACAGGTGCCACAGCTTTTTCCACCACTGTGATCCGCTGGACCCCATGCTGGTCCCAGACAACAATTACAGAAGTCATGGTCTATGTTAATAGATGGAATTGCATCCAATTTGTAACATAAAAATTCCCATCATAGGGGAAATGCCCGTATTTACTGCAGGCTTACTGTATGCCAAATGCCGAAAATGGGGTGAGACAGGGGAGGCCCTCCTATCACTGAGCTGGGAAAAGGGTTATGAGGTGTTAGAAAAGGGGAAGAACAGGGTGCCGTGGGAGTCTGGAACAGGCAGCAAATCACCGTTCAAGGGCTCCCTGAGGAAGGGACTCTAAGCTGAGATTTCAAGAATGAGGGACAGTTAGTCAGACAGAGGGGAGGGATGAACTGGGTTCTCAGGAAGGTGGAACAGCAAGTCTAAACACTGGGACCCAAGAGCTTTTAGGAGGAAATGCTACATGACTGAAGGGGAGTGAATATGGGGCCACATGTGACTGAGAAGGCTGCAGTGATAAGCAAGGTCCCCAAAACCTACTAAGCCAGGTTAAAGATCCTGGGCTCTATCCTGAGGGCCATGAAAAACCAGGGAAGAGTTAAGGAAAACAGAGATGCAAACAGACTTCCAATATTAAGAAACGTTCATTTTGGCTTCAGAGAGGAAACAGGTTGGACCAGAACAACAGTCCATCTAGAAGAGCCATATCGGAGGTCCATCACATGCCAAACCTCCCCCACCCAGCTGAGCCACTGGCCCAAGTTCAGACCTTGAAACCAGACTTCTTCAAAATTCAGTGCGCCGTAATAACTTCGTATAGCATACATTATACGAAGTTATACGAACAAAGGAAAATCCAACTTGAAGGATTAAATTCCTCTCAAAACCAGTCGTTCACTTATCTGTACTTATGTCACAAAGTGTTTATGAGTTTGATGTATATTCCAGGCCTAAATCCCCTTTCCAGAGAGCAGAGACTTCTAATCTGCCACATTCCAAACCGAAATAGATTCATCAGCATTTCACATATATAAGCACAGCTCCTAAAAGCCATTAGCAAAGTGGAGGATCTAAAGACACAAAGATTTCCAAGTCTAAATGTAATGGTCTTTAATTTCCTGAGACACATGCGAAGAGAAAAAGTTTCAGTTAAAGAGAAAAGCAAAAGCAAGACCACTGCTCCTTTACAGAAACTGGCAAATCAAGACACTGAGGGTTGCGATCCGTTGCCGGACACGAAAAAAGACAAAAAGGAAAAAAAAAAAAATTCAGTGCGCCCAACCACCTGCCCAAAGAGCTATCTCCAAGGAAGAGCTACCATCAGAATGGATGCAGAGGAACATCGTGCCTCTCTGGTTCCAACACGGATGAAAATCAAAGCCAAGGAGCCCATCCCTCAGCCAGGCAGCCTGCTGGGTAGCAGGACTATGTGATGGAATGTGTAAAGACCCCCAACCCAGGATAACAGTTATACTCTGGCTTGACAGATCTCTCCAGGCCCAAGTGAGGGAGCCTGCCAGGCACACTTCCACATCATTCCAGAGAAGGGCTCCCTGAGAAACACACAGGTTAGCAACAGAGGGCAGAGACCCCCTGTGCTGGGCAGAGGAGATACAATAGCCAGGAAACTGGCACAGGGTGGGGAACAGTCCTGGAGTGAAGAGCAGGTGGGAAGAGAAGGGGAAATGGGCCCTTGTAAATAGAAAGCACTAGGTTTCAACAGGGAACAGTTCCCATGGGGAGCAGTGAGCAGAAGAAAATGAGAACCATT